CAGGTAAAAGGAGATTTCCATATTATTAAAAATAATTAATTTTTCCTTCTGTTCAATGTTAAATATTCTCGATATGAGACATTTTCTGTTTGTGTGTTGGTAATCCGAATTTCTTTCTTTATATATATATATATATATATATATATATATAGAGAGAGAGAGAAAGAGAGAGAGAGAGAGAGAGAGAGAGAGAGAGAGGATGTATCAAAATACTTTTACAAACTCTGGGGCCGTGTTCCTCCCCAACACATGGACAATATTCCATATAAACATAGTTCCGCTAATCCATCGGTTTTAAGTTATTAAGTTTCTGTTGAAACTTGACTAATGCATGGAATAATAATACAAAATGTACTTAGAACAAAATGTATTGAAACAAGAAAGTGTACACAATATTTACATATAGTCTTTTGTATATTCCTGGTAAGACCGTTCCTGGAGAATGTGTTGACTGAGTCGCAGTCGGGCAGAGTCTCTGGTTGAATCTCTTGATTCCTCCCTCTCTTCCCGGTACCAACCATATTTATATGGTCGGTACTCCTTTATGCAAATTAGGTGGATCCTATCACAACAGTTCTTAAGAAATTTTATGATACATAGCGTTGTGTTGCTATGGAGTTTAGGTTACATTTGAGTATATTTATGGCTAGTCTCTCTTCAACGTTTAACGCGTATAGTTATGAGATAACTGAGAAGTGTTCCGTTCAACAGTGGCCGGGAGATATGATTTTTACATACGGCCGCACGAAGGGTAATAGACGCGAGGCTGCACGGCTGTATTCAGATTGCGTTTCCTAACCGAAGGTAGCCAAGTCATCCAACCTTTGTCGCTGTTTATCGTCGCGTTACTGACACAGGTTCTGTGGCACCATAAACTATGAATCAGGGAAGATCGAGATTCACTCGTACGCCTGTCAACGTAAACACATTCTACAAGCTCTCGGAGACGATCCAGTTATCAGAAGACATCAAGTAAACCTAGAATGTTATCCACCTCATAGTACCGCATACAAGGTACTTCAAGACCAGCTACTGTATCCATATCTTTTGCAACGTGTGCAGGGTCTTTTACCATCTGATCACTCACCATGGAAAAATTTTTAACGGTGGTTTATTGCGCAAATTGCCGATTCGTTGTTTGTCTCTTCAGTCTTATGTGGCAATATTTGGAAGAGATGGTCAATCAAATTTACACAACCAGCATTCGTGGGCAGATCTAAATCTCCATCTTACAATACAGGCTAGACGGCAGGCATCAGTTTACGATTAATGTGTGGCCTGGAATTGTAGGTGACTGTCTTGTAGGTCCATATGTTCCCCCAGCACATCATACAGGAGCTGTCTACTGGGACTTTATTTCGAACACATTTCCAGAACTGCTTGTGCATATGACTCTGCTAATGTGGTCCATGCATGATGGGGCTCCAGCACATTTAGTCCCTTTTTTTCCCGATGCACTGGTTGACTTCTACTATGAAAGATGGATAGACAGAGAAGGAGATGTTTCGCAGCCTGCTCACTCCCCGACCTGAATGGTTTGGGTTCTTATCTGTGATGCCACCTAAAACAATTGGGTTATACAGCAGACATTAATAATGCAGAGACCCTTCATCAACATGTCATAGGGCCCTGCGAAACCATTCGGTACCGTGTGGGAGTATTTGAAAGGCTCCGCCAGTCAATGATCCGACGGGTACATGCGTGTGTAGGGGCAAGCGGAGGATATTTTGAACATTTGTTATGAGTTGCTGTATTGAGTTAGAACGATGGCCTTTTGGTCATATGTATATATGGACATACAACCTTGTTTTGGTGTAAGGTATCCGCACCAAAGTTTGTAAAAGTCTTTTTGATACACCCTGTATATATAGACATATATATTTTCAATTAGTGATTATACTTGTTACTCATATGTGCCAACTAAATCATTGTTTCGTTCCCACGATCCACTAACCTTCATTCTTTAGTGCAATGAATGACGTAATAATACAGGGTTTGAATCCTAGCGTCTAGGCATCTCTCATAGCTTTAAGAAAAATAGATAGCTAGGAGTTTTAATATTTACAACCCACCCCGGGGACGCGATATGGCAGAAGGCCAGTTTAAACTGGGGAGCTCAATTTTGGGCTGAGTCCAAAAAATTCATGGTCGCCTCTATCAATCTCTCACTTTGTTGCAATGAAACGAGCTGCTGGTGCAGAATTGGAATCCGCGGGACCAGGCATCGCACATTCATTTGATTTATCTTAGATTAAATATTATGGGTCTGCTTGAAGACAGATACTACACTTAGTATTTATTTACTGTCGCATGCTCATAGAATGTGCCTCAAGATCAATTTAATGTGGGTAGACCGAGTGCGTCAGCTCTCAAAATAGTCCAGTCCAAGCAACTATCGTTTGTGCATGCATCGGTATTACTACCGCCCACTTTAGTGAAATGAAGAAGACACTGCTGCGGACATCTCTTCCCCGAATCGAAGCAACCCTCAATAATATTTTAAGTTACACTCGACTCAAAACCAAACACACAATTGAGTTGCGCTCTTTTCGAAGCCTGAAGAACAACTGAGAGTCAAAAAATAGTTCTCTCGTACAAGAACAGATAATACACTTTAATCACAGTTCGAAAGCTGGGGATAAGTTAATTATAAGTGTGCTTCATACTTATTTTGCTATGTAATAGCATTTTTATAATGACATTTTTCTGCCCATTGGACAAGCATTTTTAATGACATCTTTCTGCCTATTTTATAAACATGTATAAAATGACATTTTCCTGATTATTTTATAAGCATTTTATAATGATATTTTCCTGCATGTTTTCTATGAATTTTATGACATTTTCCTGACAATTTTCCTCAGTATTTTTAATGACATTTTTCTGCTAATTTTATAAGCATTTTTATTTGCATTTTCCTGTCTATTTTTATAATGACATTTTATAATTTTTATAATGACATTTTTCTGCTAATTTTATAAGCATTTTTATTTGCATTTTCCTGTCTATTTTATAAGCATTTTTATAATGACATTTTTCTGCTAATTTTATAAGCATTTTTATTTGCATTTTCCTGTCTATTTTATAAGCATTTTTATAATGACATTTTTCTGCTAATTTTATAAGCATTTTTATTTGCATTTTCCTGTCTATTTTTATAAACATTTTTATAATGACATTTTTCTGTCTAAATTTTTTAATGACAGCATTTTTATTTGCATTTTCCTGTCTATTTTATAAGCATTTTATAATGACATTTTTCTGCTAATTTTTATAAAGCATTTTCTGCTAATTTATAAGCATTTTATTTGCATTGTCTATTTTATAAGCATTTTTATAATGACATTTTTCTGCTAATTTTATAAGCATTTTTATTTGCATTTTCCTGTCTTTTATAATGACATTTTTTAAGCATTTTTTATAACATTTTTTAATGACATTTTTCTGTGAGCATTTTTATTTGCATTTTTTTATTTTAAGCATTTTTATAATGACATTTTTCTGCTAATTTTATGAGCATTTTTATTTGCATTTTCCTGTCTATTTTATAAGCATTTTTATAATGACATTTTTTTGCTAATTTTATAATTTTTACATTTTTCTGCATTTTTTTTATTTTTTCATTTTATAATTTTTATAATGAGCTAATTTTATTTTTATTTTCCTGTCTATTTTTAAGCATTTTTATAATAAGCATTTTTTTATTTTCCTGTCTATTTTATAAGCATTTTTATAATGACATTTTTCTGCCTATTTTATAAGCATTTTTATTTGCATTTTCTTGTCTATTATATAAGCATTTTTATATCATATTTCTGCCTATTTTATAAGCATTTTTATTATAACATTTTTTTTTTAAATTCTAATGAGAACATTTTTTATAAAACATTCAAAGCATTAATCTGTTGATTAATGATATTCTGATAAATGATGGTAAGCAGAAAAAATTAATAGAAGATGACGTATGCGATTCAATCGCAGATTATTCCTCTTTAATAAAAAAAAAGTAAAGGGAGTAAACTGAAGAATATAGCATTTTACTATTATCAGCCATCGAAGAATTCCTCAGGCATTTATAAATGATTTTTCTTTGTGCAATTATAACAGTTTCTAAACTGATATTATATTTTTTGACAATATGAAATGAAGAATCGTCCCATAACCACTTTGGGTATTACTATCTTTTCCTTTAGAAAAAAAATAACAAATGAAAGAAGAAAAAAGAAACTCCTGTTTTCCATTCTTTAGAGAATTCTTGAATTTCGTTTCCAAATTTCTTTCATGCTTCTTTCAGATTTGGCGGCCATTTTGTTTGGAAAAACAGTTCGATTTGCAGCCTGATTTTGCCATTATTTTCTGCCTGGTTTGTTAAGATAAGAATCAATGGAATTCTTTTTTTTTATTCCTGTCTTTTCTTCGTTTTTAGCTTTTGTTTTTAGCCCAAGATTCTTCTGATAAAAATTCGCAGTGTGAATTTTTGTGAACATCAAGGCAGAAATAGCAGCGTAAGAGAATAATGAAAAAGAAAAGAAGGCAGAATATGAGAGAAAAGAAGACAGAATGTAGAAACAGAAAAAAAAAAATTAACTACTATCGAGAAAAACGAAGAAGAAAAAAATAAAAACGTGAGTGATGGAAAAAGGTTCAAAGACCTGTAAGTTGAAGTAAAAATGTATAAAAATAAAAGAAAAGAAAGAGAAGTCACAGGAGAAATGATACGAAAGAAATTTATATAAATAAAAAAAGACTAAAAAGAATTAAATAAAAATTAAAGGAAAAGAAAGAAAGAAGAGGACACAAGGGAAAAGAAACGAAAGAATTATAGAAATAAAAAAGGAAGATGAAAAAATAAAAGAAAAGGAAAAAGAAAGAAAAATATAGAAATGAAAAGGGAAAAAGAAAATAATAAAAGAAACGAAAAAAGAAAGAATTATATAAAATAAAAATGAAAAAGAAGAATATCATAAAAGAAAAAAAAGAAGAAATAAATAATTATAGAACTAACAATGAAAAAGAAGAAGATAATAAAAGGAAAGAAAAAGAAAGAAAGAATTAAAGAAATAAAAAGAAAAAATAAGAAAATAAAAAGTAAAAGAAAGGTTAGGACACAGGAGAAAAGAAACGAAATAATTCTAAACACTATAAAAGAAGAAATATGTAAATAATAAAATAAAAAGCAAAAAAAAGAAAAGAAAAAGAAAAGGAAAATAGGAGAGTTATAATGAACGATCGTAAATGGTAAAAATCAAGAAATAAGAAAATAAAAAAAGTAAAATATACAACGTAAAAAATCAAATTATATGAAAATAAAATGAAGGATAAATAAAGAAAGAAAGTAAGAAGAAAAAAAAAGCAAAAAGAAAAAAATATTTGTAAAACATCAAGGTCAGTGTAAAGAAGAAGAAGAAGAAGAAGAAGAAGAAGAAGAAGAAGAAGAAGAAGAAGAAGAAGAAGAAGAAGAAGAAATAAACGAACACAGACTTAAAGAAAGACACAGAGGAAGGGATAAGTGGAAAAAATGAAAGAGATTAAAGAATAAAGTAGTGAAGAAAAATGAGAAAACGGAAGAAATGAAATAAGAAGGTAATATGGAAAATAAAGAAGGATTAAAAGGAAGGTGTTAAAAGAAGAGAAAGAAAAGAACAAAACTGAAAAAGAAAACTATAAAAAGAAGAAAACGAGAAAGAGGAAAATAGAAAAAAGAAAATGAAGTAAATAAAAGAAAAAGAGAAAGTAAGAAATAAGGAACAAATATAGAAAATGAACAGAAACAAGAAACAGAAAATGAAAAAATAAAAAAGAAGAATTATAATCAATAAATGAATGAATGAATTAATATTTTAAAGAGGGAAGGGGGGAGAGTATCAAAGATAAATAAAGAAAGAGAGACAATTAAATAAAGAAGAGGTGAAAAACGTCAAAGAAGAAAAAGAAATAAAGAAAAAAAAATGTCGGAGATGAAGAATGAAAGAAACACTAGAAGAAATAAAGAAAATGTCAAATATAAAGAAGGAAGGCGGGAAACAATAAAAGGAAAAAGAAGGAAAGAAACTGTCAACTATAAAGAAGGAAGGAGGGAAACAATAAAAGAAAAAAGAAGGAAAGAAAATGTCAAATATAAAGAAGAAGGAGGGAAACAATAAAAGAAAAAAGAAGGAAAGAAACTGTCAAAAATTATGAAGAAAAGTGAGAAACAATAAAATAGAAAAGAATAATTTCTAAGATAAAGAGAATAACAGAACAACATATTTAAAGAAAGACAGAAAGAAAAATAATCTTAAATGAAGTGAATTAACGAAAGCAAAGAAAAAGGAAATAAATAAAAGAATGAATTACCTAAAAGAAAAGAAAAACGGTCAAATCAAACCAAATAAGTAAAAAAAAAAATGGAAAAGAAAAGATAATCTTGTAAGAAAATCAAATGAGCAAGAAAAAGTCAGATGTGTAGGGCGTCTGTAATGGAAGCCATTGTGTTAGATTTGATGAAAACCCCATTCATTATTTTTGCTATTTTAACATTTTTATTTCAACGAAACAATTTTCTTTTCCATGTCCCTCTTCAGGAAGCAATTTTTTTTCAAAGATCATTTTCAGCAATAGAAGTAATTCTAAAAGTCTGCGCGGAAAAATCTTATAATAAATTCAGTGAACCTTTTTGATGTTTTCAGAAAACAAACATGGATGACAGTTTCGTTTTTCTTTCTTGTAAATTTCATTAATTTGTAAATAATTCCGTCTTGTACTCTTTTTGTCCACGTTACTGAAAGGAGTTTTTTAAAACTTTTTATTTTTTTTAAATGTAATTTTACAAAAGAAAACTATTAAAATAATCAAGTTTAAAAAAAATTTCGGTGAAGGGGTAAATTTCCTTTATTTATTATTTTAAAATTTCATTTTAGAAACGTTTACTTTCTTCATAAAAAATGATTATTCGAAATATTTTATCATTTTTTTAAAATAAATTGTATTTCCTATAAATATTTCAAGACGTAAATATTTGTCAGTAAAACATTTTAAAGTGAAAAAACACATTATACAATTTAAAACAAATTTGTTAGTTATTTGCTGTGGATTTTTAAAAAGATGTTTACAAACATTTTTGGAGTCTTTAATCTCACTGTAATTAGAACCTTTAATATTTAATTTTTTTCTTGTCTGCTTTTCAAATCTTAGACAAATACACATGCAACAGAATTCACAGGAAGTTGCGCTGCAACATTTTCAAAATTTTCCATTTTTTTTTCATCCATATAATGAAGATTAATAATTTTCCAGGCCGAAATCAAATATTCTCACCTGCAGGAATTACGAAATAAATTATTTTGGTGCCAAAATTGAATTTAATAAATAGTCTTTCACCTGATTGAAAGAGAAAGAATGAAAAATATGAACGTCTTGTATTAAGCATTTTACATGGATTTTTAAAAGACTTTTTAAAATGTTTAATTTAATTAAAGCACAAATGTGGCAATTATTAAATGTTTCTTAATTATTAAACTTGTTTTTGCTTCCTCTTCTACTTTCTTTCTTGGTGTTTTTCCTTTTTCTTTTGTAAATTAATCGCAGATATATTATTCAATTATATTCCATTATTTTCTTATTTTTTGTACTCTGTAAACCTTTTTTCTATTTCTTTTTTCTTATTCTTTCAACTTTCTTCTTTTTCTTCTTCTTCTTCTTCTTCATCTTCTTCTTCTTCGTCTTCTTTTTCTTCTTCGTCTTCTTCTTCTTCTTCTTCGTCGTCGTCTTCTTCTTCTTCTTCTTCTTCTTGTTCGTCTTCTTCTTCTTAGTCTTCTTTGTCTTCTTCTTCATCTTCTTCTTCTTCTTCGTCTTCTTTTTCTTCTTAGTCTTCTTCTTCTTCTTCGTCGTCTTCTTCTTCTTCTTCTTCTTGTTCGTCTTCTTCTTCTTAGTCTTCTTCTTCTTCATCTTCTTCTTCTTCTTTGTCTTCTTTTTCTTCTTCGTCTTCTTCTTCTTCTTCTTCTTCGTCGTCGTTTTCTTCTTCTTCTTCTTCTTCTTCTTCTTCTTCTTCTTAGTCTTCTTCGTTTTCTTCTGCTAATCTTCTTTTCTGCGACCACATTTTCACTTCTAATCTAATTCTACAAACTCTTTTTCATTCTTCTTTTAATCTCCTGTTTCTGCAACCGCTTTTATCATTATCCTCCCTCACTTCTTAGTGTTCCTTCTTCTTTTTCTACTTCATCATCTTCTCTAGTTTCCTACCTCTGCAACTTCTTTTTCATTGTTTTCCTTTTCTTCTTCTTCTTCTTCTTCTTCTTCTTCTTCTTCTTCTTCTTCATCTTCTTCTTCTTCGTCTTCTTCTTCTTCTTCTTCTTCATCTTCTTCTTCTTCGTCTTCTTCTTCGTCTTCGTCGTCTTCTTCTTGTTCTTCTTCTTCGTCTTCTTCATCTTCTTCTTCTTCGTCTTCTTCTTCTTCTTCGTCTTCTTCTTCATCATCTTCTTCTTTCTTCTTCTTCTTCTTCTTCATTTTCTTCTTCTTCTTCTTCTTCTTCTTCTTCTTCTCTCTAATTTCTGCAACATTTTTATCGTTGTCATCCACTCCTTCTTCTTCTTTTTCTTCTTCATCTTCTATTTCTGCAACCTCTTTTTCATTGTTCTCCTTCTTATCTCCTACTTCTTTAACATCTTTATCAATGTTCTCTTTCTCTTCCTTCATTTTCGTCAATCTTCTTTTTCTGCAAACTCTTCTTCTTCTTCTTTTTCTTCTTCTTTTACTCCAGCATCATTATTTTCTTCTTCCATTTCTGCAACCTCTTTTGTCCATATCGAAGAAAAAGAAAGACATGGACAAACGAGGTTGCAGACAAGGAAGAAGAAAGACATGGAAAAAAAGAGGTTGGTTCTTCTTTTCTTTATTTTCTTCTTCTTCTTCTTTCTTTTCTACTGCTACTGGTACTATATTTCTGCAACCATTTTAGTATTTCTATTTGAATTTCTGACGTTGAAATTTCATTATTTATATTATCTATATTCGGACTATTTTCCTTAACTGCGTTGTTGTTATCACAACATTTCGCCCGTAATGGCACGCGAATTGGTGTAATGGTTAGCAAGCTTGTCTCATTAAATCAATTACGACTGAACAGTGAATTTGATACTCACAGGATGCTCTATGATTTAGGTCTTCCCCAGTTTTTCCCTTCTGCCTTCCTCAGGTGTATATCGATCAGGGTAGCCTACATGGAATTCTGATCTGAACCCCTTACTTAATCTACGGGTGTAGACTGTTATCGTCCCACTGATCTAGTTCTTATTTTTAATTAATACTTTTCCGTTATTGCTCGCCCGTTTGCACTGAGTGCAAGTACACACTGGCCGATCCAAAATTGAAGTCACAACCACTATGTCACCAAACTGAAAAACCAACGCTTTTATCCACCATTGTCCCGTCTTGAATCATAACGTTTCATTTACGTTTTCTTCATCTCTTCCTCCTTTTCTCATTTATTTTGCTTCTCGTCTTTCGTTCGTTTTCTTTCCTCTTCTTGTCCTTCTTCTCACACTAAACTACTGTGGACATGAAAGCGAGACTAACTTTAGCTCTCGACATAAGAGGGTTCGTTTGTGTCTGGCGTGCAGGGCAGTAATTAATCCGAAGAGAAACACCGCCATTACGGTGAGTCGGACTTATGGAAAACGCGATCTCGGAGCTGCGAGGATTGGCGAGACGTGAACTGGGCCGGACGCAGATTAGTTGGCGTTCGCGGAGATAAATGTGACGACGAGAGACCACTCGGGAGTTTTTTGTGTGTAGCGAACTACGAGGTGGTGTTTGAATAATTGAGTGGAAAGATCAGTGGAATTTTGTAGCTAAACTGTCGTGAAGCTAAGGAGTTTTGTTTCTTCCCGAAGTTGGCAGTGCCAGACCAACCTGTTCCCTTCCTATTGTTTGGACCTAATTTTATCTACAACTACCTCTTTCTTGTGATAATGATATAATCTCACAGAACTTGTTACAGTCAGATCGACATCTACCAACATTAAATTTGTCTTCTTCCAGTTTAACCGCGTTAAATAAATAGCTATATTATTTTACAGGCTTTTAAATAGTATCTTCTTTGCTAAGAAATCTTCTATGAAGCCAGAAATGAAATCAGAAATTTTTATTTACGCTTGTTTTTATAAACAGTGATCTTGAACAAAAAAAAAATTAGCATTTTATCAAGTTTTTCAAAAAGTAGAACTCAAGTTAAATCTTTCCAAGACAGAAACTATGAATTGGAATGAATAGTCAGCAAGTTATGTGCCATGCGTGATATACGCTTAGGTCATCATGTATCGAAAGATGCATGACTGACGAGGCAGATATTTCTTGCAGTAGGTTGCCATTTCTTTCCATCCATCCAAGGCAACAGAATCCGATTTGTCCTGCTATTAGGTTGGTGCAGAAATAATGACGTAATAATGTCGTTTTTAACGTATTTTTTAACATCAAAAAACGACATTATTACGTCATTATTTTTGCACCAACCTAATATTTACCCATAGCTGAGAAGAGAAGAAGAGAATTTATACCTTTCTCAAGAGTATTAGCATGTAAGTGAATGTAATGGATTCGACTGGAATTCGAACTCGGCTCTCCGATTCCTCAATTCGAGCCGCTGTCCATTACTCCATAGCTATGGTTAAATGGATGGTACATGCCACGAACCCACCTACATCCAGGAGATGAAATTAATAAATATTAAAAAATTAAGATATTTTGGTGTATGGATCAGTTATAAGAAACATCGTATTCGAAATAAAAAAAAAATATTGTACAGAGACTAAACTACACTACGAGTAGTTTTACACAACGCTACAAGATGCTAGAAAACCAAGAAATTAACGTAAACACTCTAACCATGTTCTTCAAAAGCAGGACGAAATTTTCATATGGATGTCATGCAATGGTGCCAAACTCGTTCAGAAATGTTAAAATTGTTAGAGGTATACACCGCCTTCTTCAAATCGTTTCCAACGAATTAAGCATGTAGGTCTTAGCGAGGTCCTTCCATCTTCGAACCTCATGATCGTGCGCTACATAATCATAAAGAACTGTACCAAAATAACAGAAACCACCTCACTTGAGGGCTTTCAACAACAGCAACAACTAAAATGGATATATCTAATTTGAAGAGAAAATAATGACATAACCAAAATGTTGAACTTCCACACTATTCAAAAAAAAATAAAATAAAATAAAATAAAATAAAATAAAAAAAGATTGTGGGGAAACCTCCATCAATACTGAAAAGAGCGATAACAGTGAACTTAAGACACGTATTTCTTGAAAATTTGTTTTAAGAGGAAGATTCCAAGAAGTTTTCAATCTAAAGAAGCGTTGGCTGCTCGGTCAATAAGTTCCAAATGTTTCCTTATAATAAAACGGCTAATATTATCCTATTTATTGCATGCAAATACTTTTGTTATGTTCTTATGAATACTATGTTAGATATATATGTGCATACGAAATTACATTTGTAACTTAATGATAAACAAGCTTTTATTTGGCACAAAGTATTTATTTTCTACATAATCCTTACTTGACTAGACACTTAAACCAATGATTTTTCATTAATCACATAGTTTGAAAATTTCAGATGAAAATTTCAGCTAAAAATTTCGGAAACAGTTTTGTCGGGCTATGCAATTATTGATTCACCCTCTTAAAAGTAGTAAATATATCTGTCTAGATTTCTGAGATGAGGTATTATGTAAACTGTTTTGGCCGTTGTACGCCCCAGCCTTCTTCAGGTAGTTGAAATGTCGAACTAAACCCTTTATTTTGCTCACTGGCATAGACTGTTCTAGTTCCACGTGCCATGTCTAATGGATGTCAGTTATCAGTTATCTCCTGATAATTCCCCTCTCCAAGTTCTCCACCGCCTTAACCAGGTATTGAACTCACACTCTTTGGGCCTTGTCACTGGATCGAAACTTTGTAATAAATATGGCGACAAAGATGAGGACAATAGTCCAAATAATGTAAATAGCATAGTAAATATATATACAAATAATTACGATCACATTACGTCGAAACACCTGATCACCAAAGTTAAGCAACATTGAGCTAAGTCAGTGAATACATCGGTGACCGCTTGAGAATACCAAGTGCTGTAAGCGTAGATGTATGGCTGGTTAAATAACTAACAACTCGTAATTGGAAATCACAAAGCCCAGTTCCAATTCCAATTGGGTTCGTTACGTGGAAATACCCTTGGCAAAACTATGTACCC